AAAGTGCTAGGATTATAGGCGTGAGCCACCACGCCCAGCCTAGGAAAGTCTTTTAACCACCTTCTTGTATACACTGTCTAGAAGTTCAAGATCAGCAACATGGTGAGACTCCATCTCTACAACAAATTAATAGCTGGGTGTGGTGGTGCATATCTGTAGACCCAGCTACTTAGGGAGCTGAGGTGGGAGGATTGACTGATCTGGGAGACTGAGGCTGTAGTGAGCTGTGATAGCACCACGGCACTCTAGTCTGGGTGACAGAGAGAAACTGTTTCAAAAAGAAAAAAAAAAAAAGTCACATGGCCACACCTCACTGCAAAGGAGGCTGGGAAATAGAGTCTTTCTTCCAGTGGCTGTGTGTCTATCAACCACAGGGAAAATGAGAAAAGGGATATAGGCAGGCCCTATCTCTATATAGGGATAGAGAAAAGGGATACGGTATTTTCTGCTCCACTGCCCCATCAGAGACTTTAACCTAGAAGAATTTGTTAATATCACTATTGGACTCTTGCTTACTAAAGGTCTAATAGTGACACTGGACACTCTTAATAAATTAGTGACAATTGTGATATGTGCTGGGAGCCCATGTCACAGTGGTGACTGCTGATGTCTCTCCCAATCAGTCAAGTATATGAAGGACGTCTCACCGTATTTCAAGAACTCTGCTGGTGGGACCTCGGTCGGCTGGGACTCACCTCCTGCCTCACCCCTTCAGCGGCAGCCTTCCTCCCCTGGCCCCACACCCCAGAACCTCAGCGAGGCCAAACACGTGTCCTTGAAGATGGCATATGTCTCGAAGAGGTGCACCCCCACTGACCCGGAGCCCAGGTAAGGCTGGGCTGGAGGGCAACTCAGACAGACAGATGCCCTGGTGTCAGGTGGTAGGACCAACGGAAAGACACCTCTGTGTTGTACGAATGACCAGCATGATGCCAGAACATAGTAGGTGCTTAAAAGATAGATTGACTGGAAGCATGAGTGAAGCTATGGAGATGATGGTATGCTTCGCTTCTCACTTCTTCCTCTGGGCAGCTCACATATGGGGATGAACTTGGTCTGGGGAAGAACCCTGTGTTCCAGTCCTGGTTCTCTTTGAACTAGGCCCTTTTCCTCACTGACCTTTAGATTATCCATTGTGAGATAAGGTTATTAGACTCACCGATCCTCTCGTCTCTTCCCACTCTGCTTGAGCTCTGAGATGTCTGGTTTTATCAGGGCCATGGATGGTTACATCCTTCACATCTGAGCAGCCTTTAACAGTTCATTGATAATATTGATACCACCAAACATTTACTGAGTGTATACTGTGTACCCAGCACTGTGCTGAGTGGTTTCCATGTGCAGTACTATTTAGCTCTCACAGAGGCCCAATGGGCAAAGTCCTATTATTTCACCTCCTTTTTATTTTATTTTATTACTATTTTTGAGCCAGAGTTTCGCTCTGTCACCCAGGCTGGAGTGCAGTGGTGCAATGATCTTGGCTCACTGCAATCCTGCCTCCTGGGTTCAAATGATTCTCCTGCCTTAGCCTCCCAAGTAGCTGGGACTACAGGTGCCCACCACCACACCTGGCTAACTTTTTTTTTTTTTTTGACAGAGTCTCACTGTGTCGCCCAGGCTGGAGTGCAATGGTGTGATCTTGGCTCACTGCAACCTCCGCCTTCTGGGTTCAAGCAATTCTCCTCCCTCAGCCTCCCAAGTAGCTGGGATTACAGGCGCCCGCCACCATGCCTGGCTAATTTTTTGTATTTTTAGTAGAAACGGGGTTTCTCCATGTTGGTCAGGCTGGTCACGAACTCCTGACCTCAGGTGATCTGCCTGCCTCGGCCTCCCAAAGTGCTGGGATTATAGGCGTGAGCCACTGTGCCCTGCCTAACTTTTGTATTTTTTGTAGAGACGGG